ATGACTATATTTCAGTTAAAAATTTTTAAACAATTATTATTTGAGTCTCAGAAAATCCTGCAATTTAAGCAGTATTCATGATATCTTTGACTTCATTTTATGTAGGAGCAAATGGTTGAAACTTTAGAAGACTGAAACTTTCCCAGGAAGATTTAGCTGAAGTCTTCAGTGCAGCTCGTTTATGAGAGCTAATGCAGGAATCACGGATCTCTAGTATTCCTGCTCAGGATTTGAAGTCCCTTACTACTTTCTCTGATGCAAAAGGCCATTCCATTTACTATGAGCAACTTCAACTTTTCTACTCCGTCTCAAATAAATCCACATCTTTATTTACTTGTCTCACACCCTCTCCTCTTTCCTAATATCAGTGAGAGTTTTTTGTTAAACTTTTTCATGCTCCACTTACTTCCTCTAACTTATCCTAAAATTCTTCTCTAACTCTCTTTCCCTTAGTCTAAAAACACATTCATACACTCTTCCATTGTAATAAAGTCTTGCACTGTTCTTTCAATTGCAGACCCATTTCTTTGCTTTCCACCATCTGCGTCTGAGAGAAAATAAATTTCCCCCAAATTTATTTTATACTATTATAAACATAATATACATGAACAGTGAAAACAAAACTTGGACTATATGTATTCCTACCATCTGAAAACCTACCATCTATAGATAACTATTAACCACTGTTAATATTTTCTCTCCCCTCTTCTCTTTCTAATTTTCACTCTCATAATTTCATCTGTCTCAAAATCTATATATATATTTAGTGTGTATATACATGTATAGTCTCATTCAATTTTATGCCATGTAGGTTTTTCAAATGATTTAATATTTTAAATTAAAATGTTTATTGTTATTTAATACTTATTTTAAAACAGATCATATAAAATAATGCATATCTATAATTTAGAAGTCAAATGATCTATAATTTAAAAGTGATATATTTATGCAGTAGTTCTCTGCATCATATTTCCCCATCCATGATAAGTCTCTCCTTACAGATAAAAATTTTAATTCCTATACTTATTTTGTTCCTAGTAGAAACAACTGACCTACTGAAAAGCAATGGTTAAAGAAGTTTAATGAATGTAAAGTTTAATGTTTGTAAAGGAGTGGGTTAAGTTCAAAGGACCAGTAAAGGATGATGAAGGGTCTAAGGCTAGCAATAGCGGAATGAACAATATTGGGACATCATCTCCAGCTTTAGGATTTAAAGGTACAATTCTGGTGGAATCAATTATCAGAACCAGATAAAAATTGTAGCTGTAAGAGAAAGCCTACCTAGGAGCTGTTGCCTTTGAACAAGAAATGCTGCCACTGCCCTTCTAGAGGTGTGTGTGAGGGTAAGAGCTGCAGGTGTAACCAGCCTGTTCTCTGCCTCTTTCTGTCCTCCTGTTTCCCAATAATGTATCCCATTAAGCAAACCCAACTGGAAGCCAAAGACAAGGAGGTCTTGTCAGGAAGTCTAGAGAGATTGGACTTCTGAGGCACAAATCAAGACGGAAAGGGTAAAAATAGATTTGGTGGCAGAAAGAAAAAATAGTGGCATATAGGCTTATCTTGATATCTCTTGCTTTATAGGTTTTGATTATGTTGACAATTTTTTATGATAAGCAATAATTGGGCTTCAGTGTTTTATGCAATTATGTAATTATTCACTACCAAACCATAGTATACTATGTCTCCTTTCTTATACCATTTCCTATCCAAGTGTCTTTCCAGAAATTAATAATTGCCTCATATTTTCATGTGTTTAATTTTCTATGTATTTTTCAAAATCTTCCAAATTATTGTGCATATGACCACACATATTAGAGAATCATTCAGTTCTATTTTTCCTTGGGACCTTCTTTTTCTAGGTCAGATATTGGCTGCTTTTCAGGCCCTGATGTTAGTTGTCCACCTATAACCTTTATTTTAGGATTTATTTTTGTAGCTCTCCTTTTGATGAATTCCATGGGTTCTCTTGTGATTTTCTCCTCTGTTTTGGTAGAGTATACTAGTTTCATGAAAAAAACGACCTAAAAGAAGTAAAAATTTGAGCTAAATCCCCAGCCTCACAGTAATTTTTTTGAACCCTTACTTGTCTGGTGATATCTGTATTCTACTTTTGCATTCAGTTGATAACATGCCTGAGGTAGAGTTCTACACTGAAAATTTTTTTCTTCAGAATTTTGAAGGCATTGCTCCTCAGCCTTTGAAATCCAGTTACTGTCCAGGCACTGCATGTTATAAATTTGTACCTTTGTATGTGATCTCTCTTTCCTTTCTAGATGCTTGTATGGGTCATAATATTTTCTTAATATTTGGTGTTTTGAAATGTCATAGTAAAATTTTATAGTGAATTTATTTATTTATTTATTTATTTGGCTCATATGCTTTAATCCTCAGTCTTATCTTCAGTTCAGCAAAATACTAGTATAGTGTATCATTGGTAATTTCTTTCCCTTCATTAATTTTTTTCTTTTACAAACTCTCGTTATTTGAGTGGTGGTCCTTCTGGGCTCTGCCGGCTAAGTTTCACTTCTTCCCCCTTTCTCCAGTCTTTTCCATAGTATTTAGTTTGTGAATGGTTTATGTTGCTATCTTCAAAGTTGGAAATGCTATTCTTTGTTTATGTATGGAAATGTATGGTTTCATGCCCAGTAATGTGTCCACAGTTGGGCATTAGGGTTCTTCTTCTTCCCAACACCTCTTTCATAATCATCCTTCTTCCCCTTTACAAAAGAAAGGTATAGTCTTCATGGATTCTGATTCTCACTATGGTGTATTTCCTAGAGTGTTAAGCCTGTAGAGATGCCAAATGAAAGATATCTAGAAATAATTTTACCTATGAAACCTACCTAATTAACATGGCATAAGACATTGTATGTTTTGGCCTAAATACACAGAACATTGTAGAATTGGATAGTGACTAGTGTTTAGCAGACTTTACTGTGTAATTTTCAAATTATTGCTCTGGATGGAAAAACCTGTAAAAATGAAGAAAGCATCTTTAAGAAATACAGGAGACAGACTTCTGGCAGGTATCCATGCCTCATTTATGTTTACTTATGGAAAAATGAGAATTCAGACACGAGATAGTTATTACAGAAATGAATATTAACACACTTATTGGAATTGGAATATTAAGTTAGAAAGTGAGTCTGATTTAGAAAATTAGTTTGATCATGAGAACTGCATTTACCCACTAGGTTATGACAGTCTTTTTTCATGAATTGAATAATCTAAGTCTAAACAAGCTAAATTTGAGCTCTGATAGTTTAATAAAAATAAAGCATGTGACTAAATGCATGAAAATGAATAAAAGTAATAATATTTAAATTCTCCCAAACCATTCTGAGTATATCAGGTAAAGGAGGCTTCCTCTAAGTGAAACATGTGACAGTATAATTCTTTTGTTCAATCTTAGTAAAGCCTTTAGATATGCTATCCCCAAAGAGGAGAGTTATTGTAACAATTGGATAACAAATCTTTTTGTGTTGTGAATTCTTTTATTCAACAAATTTAAAGAAGAGTTAACTTGGGTTATTAGCTGATAGATTATTGAAGATAATGATCATGATGATGATTGCTATTGTTTTTCTGCTGGAGATACAGGGTTCTGGGGATTGAACCCAGGGTCTTGTATATGTTGGGCAAGCACTCCATTATTGAGATACATCCCCAGCCCCCAAAGTTATTTTTTATCATTAGTTTTTATGTTGTTTTTGGCTTTAACTTAGGAATGGATCATGGTATTGAACAGCATCATTCTTTTCATTCTTATCTATTTATGAAAACAAGATTGTCAATATTTATGTCTATAATAACAGTAAGTAATAACTGAATTTGTCATGAACACTGCTTTACTTTAGGAATAAGAACTAGCCATCCATTAATAGATCAATTAATTAAAACATAAGTCCATACTCTCATTGAAATAAGTTTCTAAAATAATTACCATTAAATTTGATAATATTAATTTATTAAGATTCATAGTATAACTTTTTCCTTTTTCATCAGTGATGTACCAATAATAATCATAAATGCTAATTCAATCCAGAAAAAATATGGTTAAACATTTTGACCTTTGTAGACACAAGAAATTTAAAAAATTTAAATTTAAATTATAGATATTTTTTGTAAGTATGTATAATAACATGATCAAAAATATTTTAAAGCACATATTTTCATTAGTTTAGGATAAAATTCTTCAGGGGAAATGGAATGAAGATATAGAATTTAAAAAGTAAAACTTCCAACTGTTAAAGTAAAATTTACATGTGTTTAGATACAGATAAAAGGCTTTATATATGTATGGAAAAGTTTATATAAGAAAAGCTTATGTATATAAGAAATATATCGTGTTTGTTTTGTATGGTTGATATGTAAATTCATTAAATTTAGTACAAAAATAAAGCACAATAATTTTTTTGGGGGGGTACCAGGGATTGAACTCAGGACCTTGTGCTTGTGAGGCAAGCACGGTGCCACTGAACTAAATCCCCAGCCCCACAGTAATCTTTTAAATGCAATATACACTGTATTCTGAAAATTTACATCCTTTTCACTTGTTTAAACACATAGTAAAATTTTAGATGTCAACTTAATAATTTGAAAGCTGCTGATTTATAATGCTTTTTATTTTCTTTACTATTTATACAACTGTAACTGTTGTTAAAAAAATTTTATTCCTTTTATAAGAATGCAGGTGATGGAAAGTAGAGATTATGTTTTCTAATCTTTTAACAAAGATTATAGGAGCTCAACTTCAGATTTATTGTATTATTTTTATCAAAGGGAGTAATTTATTCCTTTTCAGTTACCTCTACTTATCCTTCAAGTTAGTTTTAACCAAAACAACCACCAAGTGCAAATAAATAGTTCTCATTTTATCCCCAAAATGAGGATAAGGAAAATACTGTGAGACAGGAAAAAAACAAGTACTGTATATACAATAAACCAATATCAATTTTTAATAATTTAATCATTTTTATATAAAATTCAGCAAGGCTTAATCACTGAGGAATACATTTATTTTATTGACATAAAACAATAGTGTGTATATACCTTTAGCTAAAACCAGTGTTTTCATGGTAATTCTTTTTAATATGTACCAAATTAGATAGCAGTGATAACACTAATAGAGTGCTCAGAGTAGTTGGCAATAAATGTTTTCTCCTCAAGGTTACAAATACAGAATTGTAATTTCAAAAATATATATATTATATATATTTTTTACAGTTTATGCAGCACCTCTGCTTAGGACATTGTAAGCACAGATATTGCCTAAAACTTTTATTTGATACATATGTAATAATTAGGCTAGCAATAAGAAAGTGTGTTTATGCATATACATTGGTTTACGTTTATAACATTTCTACAGCTTCTGAGAATTACCAAAAAAGTTTGGTCTCTTCCTGTAATCCTGATAATTTACAGATGGATACAGTATTTTATTTTGTATTTAACATTATCCAAAATAATTAACATACAGATCCCTTAAAAATAATATAACTTAAGCAAAAGCAAATTTTAAAATACAAAAAGTCTTAAAACCTTTCTTGGAAATATTAAATTTGGGGTTAGGAATTAGATAGTCCAGTATCTAACACTGATTCTTACCATTCCCTTGTTCTGAGATTTTTTTTTTGAAGTAAAATATTGTCTTTTTTTTTTTTGGTACCTGGGATCGAACTCGGGTCCTTGAACTTGTGCAGGAGGCGGCGAAACCGCTGAGCTAAATCCCCAGCCCGTAAAATATTATCTTAAACTTATAAAAACTTCTTTTATTTAAAAGAAAACTTGCAATTATCTTATATATGATAACCCTTTATCCTAACAAGATTTCTGGGAATATTAATTCTAGGTAACATTTACTGAGCATTCCCTTTATACCAAGCACTAGGTTTAATAATCCATGCTTAATCTTCGTGACAGTTGTCTGAGGTAGGTAATATTGTGCCCCTTTTCCATAAACCTGGTTCATGAAAGGCATAAGACCCAGATGGGATGCAGTTACCCTGGTTTTCTTGAACTCACCTTTACACTTTGAGCTGTGTGTGTGTGTGTATGTGTGTGTGTGTTAACGCCTTACTGGTTTCTAAGAGCACAGTGGTGACCATGTAGAGGAAAGTAGGGAGTGAAGTTAGAAAACACCCTTTCCTGGGTGTCAACAGCCAGATCCAGCAGGTGAGTGGCCAGACCAAGAAGTCTAATCATATTTTGAACTAGCTGAGAGAAAACTCATGTTTGTTTCAGAGCATGAAAATACTTCCACAAAAGTTAATACTTGGAAAATTAAGTGCTCAAGTTCATGTCTAATTTTTCTAAGTTTGAATCTAAACGGTGCTATTTTTATTTACTATAAAATATACTGTTGAAGACCTAAGGGTTTTTATTTTGTTAAACTAGTTCTTTGGTCCTTGTATAAGTTTTATTGCCTTCTCATTTATCATATATATGACATAAATATATATCATATATATTATATATAAAAATATATATAATATATATATATTTTTTTGTACTGAGGATCCAACTCAGAACCTTGCACTTGTGAGGCAGGCATGGTGCCACTGAGCTAAATCCCCAGCCCTATCCTCAATGTTTATTTTCAACACAATTAGCTGTTGGTTTTGGTGGCTTGTGCACCCTTGGACTGAAAAATTTTTAATTGCATCTGTACTGAACATGTACAGATATTTTTCTTGTCATGATTCCCTAAACAAAACAATGTAACAACTATTTGCACTTGTATTTACATTGTCTTATAAGTAATCTAGAGATAATGCAAAGTATACAGGAGGATTTATGTAGGTTATATGCAAATACTACCACAATGAGGAGTTTGGTGTCTGCAGGGGTAGTATGGGGCTCTGGAACCAATTTCTGATAGATACAAAGGATGATTCTCTTCCAGGAAAAAATTGTGGAAGGAAAACAATGAAAGGTACATTACATGGAGGAAGAAAACTTCAGGCTCTGAATATCTGATATTTGTGAGTAAGTCAAAATAACTAAATAGAAATTAAAAGTGGTCTTTGGGACATTTTAAAAAAACTTTACTACTTTGTTCTTCAATAAATGACACCAAGAATAGTGATTTGATATAAATTACATTCATCCCTTATAAAGTGGAAAATTTCTTTATAATTGTAACACTGGACTTCTCAAAGGCCATTAGCATTGTGAAATGGGGAACAGGAGCCACACAGGAACATTTTCCTGTTCCTCCCCTACTCAGAGTCTCTATAGGTCTGTCTAGAGTTCACAGTCTAGCACAAAGAGCTCTTGAATTATTTATGTTCACTTTGTTTTCTGAAGTAGCAAGTGAAAATAGTTCTAAGTTGGCCCAAAGGAAAAAAAAATAATCAAACTGAAAAGAAATAATTTCATGATGTTTCCACTGCCAGATTGCATACATGTGAACAATTTTAACCAAGAGAAAGAAAGAAGAAAATTTAAAAAGCAACTATTCTTTGAGTTTTTTCATTTTTAAAAAAGTACTTTAAAAAATGATTCTTTCAGTGTACATTAAAGCAAACATAAAGAAGATTGATTCAGTGTTCCACTTTGTGGGGAAAACAGCCTGAAGACAACTTTAGTGCCCTGCTAAGCCTTTGACATTCATCAGAACTATTCTTTCATATTTGTAAAGTTCACTACAAGTTAAAGTCTATTTAATCATCATTGCACTTTCAATTTTCCTATGTGGGTCAAAGTACTTAGAATTATGCCTACCCTATTGGTAGGATACAATACCTGTTAGTAACAGCAATAGAATAATAGTTTGGATGGAATCTATATACAGTTAAGACAAAGAAGGAAGGTCAAAGGGGAAGACTGTTCTGTGTTAGGGAACATGGTGTTTCCAGGAAAATCAAATAGGGATTTTGATCGAGTGTGAAGTTGAACATTCATGGTTTCAGGAGCCCACCCTTTGGAATTTTGAAGCCCTTCCTCTTCAACTTGCTTTGAATCATGCTAGTTCAGAAAAAAAATATATTTTTAAAGAATAGCAATCCTTTACTCCAAATGTCCCTAAATTAGATTGATCCAATTTATTGAGGTTTGGGGCAATATACAAAAGGCCTGACTCATGATTGAGTGTATTTTGTAACACAGCTCAGACAGCCAGGCTATGGTAAAGAGCAAAAGAAAATATAACCTAAAGAATGAACAGCAAGGATTTAGCATTATTTTGTAATAGGTATTAATATTGACTGATAATACAATCTAATCCTGGATATATGGCCAGGTAAAAACTTTTAAGTGTTTAGTCTTGTAAAAGCTATTTAGTCATTAACCAAAAGAGTGTTTTTTTTTTTTTCTGAGTATAGGAAGATTTTTGGTAGCTGCCCAAAATAAGTGTTTTTCTTCATAAACATATTTTGTCATATTCAGTAAACCATTCCACATGAGAATACAAAAAAAAATAAAATGTTAACAAAATACAAATTTTAATAAACAAGACAGAAGCTGAGTAAGAGAAAGGGAAAAGTTAATTTTAACATGACTCTTATTGCTACTAGCTATACCTCCTTTAGTATGATATCTGTGGGTCCGCAAATTGCAAGTTAAGCATATTTAAATATATAAATATTAGTTGTATCTTCAGGTTTCCTGTCACTCATTTAATGAAACAATAATATATTAAAAGTTCTTCTATTTCAGGGGAACATGAAATAGGAATAAGGACTAAATAGGACTAAGAAGAAATAAAAATAGGTCTAAAGTAGGACTAAGAAGATTAGAACATCCTTGTCCTTTAGAGTACCAAAACAAGCTAGTTAGCCATTTTATTTACTTAATTACAAAGTCTAACTGCCAAAAATAGAGTCTCTAAGTTAAAAAAATACTTTTCTTGGTAACATTTGTTGACATTTCTGATCAGAGCCAATGAAACTCTTTTAAAAAATAAAGTAATACTTTGAAATGTGTGTATGAACTTCTCAAAGAATCATTTAAAATATATAATTTCCTTCCTGTTTTGTTCATATAGAAAACCGAGTTTTCTTTATACAGTCCCTGTAGCTCTAAGGAATTCCATTTCTATAGGAGCTTTTGACCGTTTGGCTGAACCACTCTTTTTCCGGAATTCTGCAGCAATTTCCTCAAAAGACTTTCCCTTGGTTTCTGGAACTTTAAAAAATGTAAACAGAGTAAAGGCCAGGACCACTCCAGCAAAGAGGAAAAACACATAAGGTCCACAGAAATCCTGGAAAAAGAGCAAACACAGAGTTACAATTAGCAGCTGTTTGACTTGTCTTCTGTTCAGTAAATTTACACAGTATTGGCCCACTTACCGCAATGTACTGGAAACACAAAGCTATAATGAAATTGCAAGCCCAGTTGCTGAACGCAGCTAGTGCTAAAGCTGTCGGGCGTGGTCCTTGGCTGAAGAACTCAGCCACCATGAACCAGGGGATGGGGCCTGGCCCAATTTCAAAGAAACTGACAAAGAGAAATATGGCTGACATGCTCATGTAACTCATCCAAGCAAACTTATCCTGAAAAAAGAGCAAAACAGGAACAAAAGTGAGGCTAGGACCATTGACTACTGTTCATTTCGTTAAGTAGCTTTTCACAGATTTCAGAGGTGGACGTAGCTCTCCTGCTAATATGTTTATGTACAATCAAGTGCCAGTTATTCTAGTTTTGGGACATGTTATTCTAGTCTGAATCATCTTAAATCCTTTGAATTCCATTACAGGAAATCCTCTGTATTAAGACTTTTTTTGATCCTTAGTCATTCTCTTCCTGTGAAAGTCAAGGCAAAGATCCAGTATCCTTTACTCCCACATATACCAAGGTGGCTGGACAAGGTGTCTGATTCCCTGTGAAGTGGTGAATGAGGATTCTAGGCTGAGAGCGATTCCAGGTACCTGCCTAGGGTCACAAAGTCATCCAGGTGACAGAATCAGTATTAGAACTCAATTGGGACTGACCCCAGAGCCTATGCTCTAGCCAGGTGATACACTGCCTCCCTCCTGGACAATAAGCACAAGTGACATGCTGGTATTTAGTCTCCAATGCCAAGAAACTAGTTCCTACTTTTTTTAACCTTTGACCTTTGTATTATGTACTGTTCCTTTGGCTTTATTTGATAAGTAACTTTCATGTTTTTGACCTACAAAGATCTTTAACTTGGAGCACAGAGATGTTGTCATGTGGTGACCAAAATTATCGGTCCAGGCACCAAACTCACCAGTAGCACAAGCCCCACTGACATGAAGATGGCACAGAAAAACATCCCACTCATTCCGATTAGAAACAGAGAGCGTCGTCCTGCCTTCTCCACAAGAAATACCTAGGAACATTTAAAAAAATAATGTTAGTTGTATGAGCCACAATATATTGTCTTCATATTTAAATCATTTTTTACTGCTAACAAGGTCATTTTAATTTAAATGGTTGGAAAGAAATAGCACTGTTTTTCCATTTTATGGATATAAGACTGAGGTAGAGAGTGACTTTTGCCCCGGGTGGCAGAAGTAGTGTCAGTGAACAAGTATTACTTTGGTCACATGGATTTGAACAGGCCACTTTAGAGTTAAAACCACAGTGTCACCACCACTATAGGATTATCCTTGTGGTATAGTAGTCAGAAACTGTATGTCTTGAGTCTCTTCCAATAGATCTATATTAAAAATAACAATTTTATCCTGATGCTTATCATTACTAGGGTTTGTGCACTACAGGCATCTGAAACAGGGCCAACTATTCTCAGGGCCAGTGTTCTCATCTGATGATCTCCCTGTTTGATAAAGTCAAATTATGACCACTTACCTAGCAACATACTGAATTTGATCATTTTAGTAAAATAGATCTGCATTTTTCTCTTGTACTTAAGTGTATGTGGTGCTGATATTGAACTATATATTTGAAAATGGCCTAAAGCAAAGAGTTAGAGTACTTTCTTATTCTAATTAAGGAAATATATCATTGATTCCTTTGAATCTGTGAACTTTTGCATTAATGGTTAAGATTTATGATCAGTGTTTGTTGAATAGACTCTTGCCTGTCTGATCCATTGAATACTACCAAGGCTGCTCCCCCAGCACACACACACTGACATACACTCACACCTGTCATAATTTCTCACTTCAATAAGTAAATTGGTTAGGCTCATCAATCTACTAGCAAATCAATAGCAACCCAATATCCTTAGTAGATTGAGCTCTGGCTCTGAAGCTATCTGAAAAACATTTTACCATTATCTTATTCATGTCAGAGTTCCAAATCAGTTCAGAAATAATGGTAGGCAAAGAGCTTACACTTAATTATTAAGAAGGAAGTGGGGAAAAAAATCTTCCTTAAATTCATAAAAATTCTCTCACATTTCACTAATCATGGCATTCAAATTGACTCAATTCCATGTCAGGCTACCAGTAAAATAAAAATGTTTCCTCAGCCATAATATCTCTGACTATATGTGTTTCTTTTGTTTATGTAAAATTATTTAATTGGATAATAAACTCTAAAGTGAGGGGCCTTAAAAAATGAGTTGGACTCTGTCCTTCAGGCTGGGTTTGAACTCAGGAATGCATATGACAATGGGTGGACAAGATCGGGGGCTGGAGGCACTGACCTGACTACAGCCCTCATCTCTGCCCCAGACCACATGCGTCAGTCAGATCCCAATACCTAGTTGGAGTTTGGTAGCCTCTGATTCTCCCCAGGAGTCATTTTTCTATAGTTCTACCAACTCATTAATGTGGAACATAATTCATTGGGAAGTGAGGAAAGTGTATATCTTTCCCCAAACACTAATTCAGAAAAAAAAAGATTATTTATGTTGTTTCTAAGTTGGTGAAACATTAATATATTATCAGTGCAGATTCCTATTTGCATATATTTACTTGAGAGGATGCGTGGTTTGGTAACATTAGTTAATTGGAGGCAGAAAAACTGGGTGCCTATAGTAGTCCCTTTTTTGTACTTTTTGAAATTTGAAACAACTTTTCAAAAATTTTTAAAATGTTATCTGTAGTCCAGAGGGTTAAGAAGATGATTAGAATTGATTATATTTAATTATACACTCATCTGCGCAAAAAACTCACAGAATCAAAGGATGAGCTCTAAAAAAGGTATATTTAAAATAATTATTGACACTTACAAAAATGAAATTCTGCACAAGTTTCTACTTTAGATTTTCTCAGGATTTGGGTTACTCATTTTTGACAACTTGTTGCTTTATATAGTAAATGCTGTTATAAATATACTTTAAAAACAAATCTCTATATTATAAAAAATGTTGAAATAAAATTTGTAAAAATATTCTAGGAGACAAAAAAGGCAAATAGTCCTTTGGATTGCATCCTGGTAAAGGCCTTCATCGATTCATAGTGGCCTTTGGCTTAACGGGGCAGTACCTCTAAAGTCATGTGTACAGAGACCCCAGTGTTCTGTTTGTTCTTTCTCTTTCCAAGGTCCAGCACTATTTAATGTAGCCTGGACAAACCTGTGTTTTGGTCTAGATAGCCAGGCTGCAATTTATTGACCACAATAAGGAAATAGTTAAAAGTTCATATGAAGACAATGAAAAACAAAGAGCTAAAATAGAGTATAGTATTATTACCAAAATTGAAAAGGATAAAAAAAAAAGAAAAGGATAAACATTTTATGCATTTTGTATTCAAAGCTAAAAATTAGCCCAATTATCCTCATTTTAGAATGAATTACATTAGTTCATAAATTTTTGTCTTCATTGTTTATTTTATTTTTAAATGTTAACTATTATTGTCAATATATTAGATCATTGGAAGATTTTTGACTTTAAGTAGAATATATAATCTCTTTTGTAGGAAAAACAATATATTTCTAGTGTTATGCTACTTCTACCCCATGCTCTCATGTACAATATTCTTTTTTTATCTTTTTTATTAGTGCATATTAATTGTGCAGATTAGTGGGCTTTATTTTGGCATATTTGTACATGCACATAATATACTTTTTTTCCCCCTCGGTACAGGGGATTGAACTCAGGACCTTGTACTTGTGAGGCAGGTACAGAGCCACTGAGTTAAATCCCCAGCTACATAATATACTTTGATCATTTCCCCTCCCCATTAACTCTCTTTCCCCTTTCCTCACCCTACCTCTGATCCCCTTCCTCTTTTCTAATTATCTCCCTTCTACTCATTTAATCTTCACTTCTCTTTTCCCTACTAGGCTCCTCATATAAGAGGAAACATGCAATATTTGACTTTATGAGTCTGACTTATTTCACTTAACATGATGATTTCTGGTTCTATCCATTTTCTTGCATGATTCCAACATGATTTCATTTTTTTTATGGCTGAATAATATGTATATATATATATATATTTTTTCTTCTTGGTTTATCCATCCTATCATAAATGATAGAATTTCCTTTTTAAAGACTTGTATATGTCACTTCTTCTTCATCCATTCATCTGTTGCTGTGCTCCTAGGGTGTTTCCATAGCTTATTTATTGTGAATTGCACTGCAAAAACATGGGTATGCTGATATATCTCTACCTTATGCTGACTAATTCTGTTTAGGACTATGCTGAGGAGTGGTATAGCTGAATTAAATGGTATCTCTACTTTTTGAGGAACCTCTATACTGATTTCCACAATGGCTGTACTAATTTACATTCCCACTAACAGTGTAGAAAGAGTTTTTCTCCCATATTCTCACCAGAATTTATTGTGTTTTTGTATTCTTTTTTTGGTACAGGGGATTGAACTCAGGACCTTTTGCCTGCGAGGCAGGTGGCGGAACCATTGAGCTAAATGCCTGGCCCTGTGTTTTTGTATTCTTAATGATGGTCAGTCTCATTGGGGTGATATGGAATCACAATGTAGTTTTGATTTGCATTTTCATGACTAAAGAGGTTGAACATTTCTTTCAAGTATTTATTGACCATTTGTACTTCTTTTGAGAAGTATCTTGTTCAATACATTTGTCATTAGTGATTGGGCTATTTAATTTCTTGGTGTTAGGTTTTTTTGAGTTCTTTATGTACTCTGCATGTTTGTAGGAAGAGAAGTTAGCAAAGACTTTCTCTCGTTCTGTAGGCTATCTCTTCACTTTATTGATTGTTTTCCTTTGCTGTCACACACATTCTTGTGCATCACTAGAAGCTACACCTTTGGGAAGTACCTGCAAGTTTTGCCCAGTAATCTAACATTATAGGAATTTGCTGAGTTTTTAGAATTCTGCTTAAAGTCTTAGATGTTTACTACATAAGATATTGTTTATTATTTTTTATAATTTTTTCTCCAAGACATCAGGATAAGAAAGTATTTCATCCATGGAAGAAGAATCTAGGTAATCTAGTCAATACTGATAGAAATGGCAAGCTGTCAGGTAATCCTAAAGAGTTTATACAGACCAAAGGAGAAGGAACTCAGGGATTTATGCAAAGAGAAAGTTCCCTGTGCCTCTAAGTGAATTATTAATTCATCAGTGAGTGACTGAGTGGGGATGTGGTCCATTTGCTCAGTTATGACTCATCTCAGTGCAGTGTTTGGCTTATTCACAGAGAAGACCTCTCCCATGAGCTACTTAGTTCTACACACCCAGGTTGCATGGAAAAAAGTCACTGATCACTTTTAGGTCACAAATTGTTTTCCCCATTCCTGGACCAAGGAACAAAAAGAGTGTTTATTTTGGGTACTGACTTACAGAAACAGCAGTGAAAACCATGTTGATGGCGCCAACTCCAATGGTTGCATAAACAGGCTGGCTGAGTCCAGCTGTCTGAAAAATGCTGGTTGAGTAGTAAAAGATCTGCAAAGTAAAAACATGTTGACCTTAACCAAGTAGTGTTGCACTGATATATTTAAAACAATAAATGTTTTAGGTTGTTTTTATATGTTTCTATACCCTCTCAGAGAACCTAGGCTTCCTTTAGTGTTTGAAACTTCAGATTAAAATTCCTCCTTATATTTAGCTGAAAACTCTGTTACTGTTTTTGAAAGTTCTTCTAATTTTTAAACTTTTGTTAAAGGATAACATATATAAAACATACACATATCATGTGTGCAGCTTAATTAATTTGAAGGAACTGTGTAACAAGCACTCAGATCAAGAAATGAATCATTTACACCTCTACTGAAATTCCCTAGATGTCCCAGGGAAATCACTATTCCAGTATCTTACATCATAGATAAATTTTGCCTAGTCTTATACTTGATAAAAAGAGAAGCATATAATACGTACTATTTTGTGGTTGGCTTCTTATGCTTAATATTACCTATGTAAGAATCATCTTTACTGTTGTATATATTTGTAGACTGTTCATTTCCATTACTATATAGCATTTTCTTGTAAATCTACCATAATTTAGTTACCCATGCTACTTCTGATGACTATTTAGATTGCTACCATTTGGAGTGATTATGAATAGTGCTGCCAACACTATTGGTGATATATATGTGTTTTTATGCCTTGTAATAGAATTGCTGGGACATAGCATATGTACATGCTCTGCTTTGCTAGACACTGCCAAACACTTTCCCAAAGAAGTTATGACAATTTTGTATTTTCACCAGTGTGCATAAGTTCTGACTGCTATTATTGCATTTGATCCAGAATTTTCTACTCATCTCAGTAGTGATGGAGAAACAACTTCACAACCTTGCTAATAGCAAAAATTTTAGTTACATTTGTTTCTAAAAGTCTTTTAGATCATTCTGTCATCCTTTGTCATTCTTTCCCCATCTAAAATGTCCTATTGCTAATACCTTTTCCTGCAGGACTGGTAGAGTATTTTCTGTGAGCAATGACTTGCAATGTACACTATTTCACCATTGTTTGTTCAAAAGCCTCAGTTTAAAGATTTCTTCAATGTCTCTTTAAGTCAGGCACTGAGATGGATGTTGGATTAGCAAGTTCAGAAAGATTAAGTACTGTGCCATTGGGTATTCAGGCAGAGCTGCGACAGGAGATAGGAATTTGGTCTGTGATTCCCAAAAGGGATCTCTTAAAGGAGGACTGAAATCATAGCAGAGAAGTATTTTATTTGTTGAATGAGGTTCATTTCAAGTATCCTTTTGCTTCAACTGACGGAAATTATTTTTATTTTTATGTTTTTGTGAGACAGGGTCTCAGTGTGTAGTTCAGGCTGGGCTTGAACTCATGATAGAGCCCAGGCTGTCTTTGAATTCATGTCAGTCCTCCTGACTCAGCCTCCCAAGTGCTGGGATTCCAGGTGTGTGCCACCACACCCAGCTGAAATTATATTCTTTGCCTATCCCAGACTCTACTCATCCATCCTTCACCCCCAGAGTGTCTTGTGGCTCACTATATAGAAGCCCAATCCATATTTTTGAATAAATAAAATTGAATGATTTTCTTTATCTAGTTTTTTAACAAGTGCTTTATTTTTTCTCTTCTAGTGGCTAATTGCCAGTAGGAGCATTTAATGTACATGATGCAGGGGTTTCAATTTAGAAACTAAAAGCTAATGGTTTAATACATGGCCTATTTTTCAATCATGTCTTTCCTACCACATTCACCTAATTCATTCTATTGTTTGTATGTTTTCTTCCCAAATACAGTGCAAGTTTTTTTAACGGCAAGAAATTGCTCCTTGCATCTCATATATAGTACTTCATTAAATAAATAAAGGGAACTGTGGACTCCTTTTTGTTTATACTCTTAGAAATCCTAATTCATATTCAAATCTCATGCAATTTAGGGTTTTCTTTTTTCAAGGGGTATACTTACTCTCTTTTTCCTTCCTTGCATTTATTATGACTTTTACCTTCATCTTAATAGAAATGAAGTACTATTGATTGTTGACCTTTTAAATAAATTGTGAGTTAATTTTAGAAAGCCATGGAAGCAAAGCCAGGAAAATTTATTATCACTTAATATATATTTGTTATAGTAATATCTGGTGTCAATATTTTAATGTGTCTCTTAATTATTTAAACTTATGCTCTCCTTCTCTCTGTTAATTTATTTTGCTTTCCTAAAATTAGGTGTCTTTAAACTTACTGCATTGATCCCAGAAAATTGCTGAGCCATGTGCAGCATTAATGCCACTATCAAAGGCTGTCGGTAGGTGGAATTGGTGAAGAGTTGAGTCACAGAAACTTTCTGCTCACTTGATGATTCTTCTTTCTCCTTTTTCATCTCATTCATGTCTTTGGTGACATCATTACTTCCTCTGAGTCTTTTCAAACCTGTCCCCCAAAACAATCAAGTTGAGACAATCCAGGTCAAACAAAAATACATTTATTTTTATTATGTTCATGAAAGAGCTACAATTGTGCATGTCTCTTTGTATTACCTAATAGCATGGCCATTGGAAATCTTTTTTGTTAAATTAAATGATGCTCTTTATTTTAAAAACAAAACACTTGGCTTCATATCATGATAGAGAAAACTATGATCCTTGTTATCATAAAAGCATAATACTAGAAGGTCTTTTAGAAGCCTCTGGTTAAGTCTAATACCCTACAAGTGAGTTTCTGGCTTAGGCGTGGGTGTGAGATGGTATGTGGACGCCCTATCAAAGTGATTTTGCATATTCTTCTCACATGTGATTTCTGACTTCATTTGGAAGGCACAGAAATTAATTTCACGAGCAACCATTTACATACACTATTTTGCATTAGCTGATAATTTCAAAAAAAATAGGATGAAAGAAAAACCACCTACAGACTTACTTTTCTTGGCTTTGACTTCCTCTTCCAACTTGATGTAAAGATACCTGGGGCTTTCTGGACAGAAGATTAATAACAGAGACTGCAGAAGAGCTGGCCCAGCAGATAGGCCAAGCAGAATGTGCCACAGATCTTGATTGCCCAGGATAAAGTCAAGGCCAATAATCTAGGAAGATAAGGAGGAAGGATATCAGCTGTAAAACACTTTAGGTCTGCCTTCTACAACAATTTGTTGAAAAAGCACATTGGCTATTTAATCGTTATCCCAGGTAGGCACACTCTCTGGGAGGCTAAGGTAGGAGTCTGAGCTTAGTAACGTGGTGAGACTTTGTCTCAGAAAAAAGGGGGTGGGGATGATGGAGTTGTAGATCAGTGTGAAAGCCTTGGGTTAATTCTCCAGTATCATTAAAGAAAAAGTAACTCATTACAACCTCAGTTCATAAAAGTATAAGATGGAAACTATTTCTAGTGTATTTTACCTTAACCAAATTAGGGACATATTTTTGGATAAAGAATTCATCTAGGATTGTTTTCATTAACTCGAATTTCATTAACTCCACAGGTTGGGAATCAACCCAATTTTAAAAAATACATTTGATAGCTAAAGCAACATATGGTTGTAGTCTCCAGGTAACCATACAGGATTATGGTTGAAATCATATGAAAAATACAGGATTAAAATCATGCATAACTTTAGGGCTTTGCTTTAAAATTCTTTCTCAGGTTAAATAAAATGGGGCTTCGTAAAACAATTACTGGATCAGAACCAGCTTTATAATCCCAATTGCAGTGGTTCATGTACTTCCTTCTGGATCATACATGTAGGCTTCCAAACAGTCCCTCTGAGACCACAAGGAAGAAGGAAAAGGATAGAGTCAGATGAACAAGGGCTTCTATGAGAGTTGTCTGTGTACTACATTTCCAGGTAAGATGCTCGAAACAAAGGAAACCCAGGCAGTCAGAATTTTGGTTTCCTATTCCTTGAAATCTAAATGGAATAATGTAATTCTGGAGTAGAATTGGAAGTTTCACCTCTGGTGCCAATCCATCTGCAACTTCTAGGAGAAAAGGGAGGAGTGGCAACAATTGACCTTTCAATCAAAAAGCCTTTGTTTCTTACCACCTCCACACCACAGTATTGGAGCTGGTGTTTTTCTGAACTGTGCTGGTCTACAATGCAAGTACTCAATCAGGGAGGGAGAGAGTAGATGAAGTAGAAGTTGGGTAGAGTAGGGGATGAGGAATTTTTACCTGACTGATAAGAATGCCTGTGACAATGGCCAGCTGGTGAAGAGTGCCAAGCGCGCCCCTGAGCGAGGTTGGAGCAATTTCACCAATGTACATTGGAACCAGCCCTGAAATTAGCCCTGCATAAAACATGAATATAAATGTTAAAGTGCATCCAGAAATATTTTAATAAAAATAATTTGGTTTAAGTACAGTCAATATCCTGACTGAAAGTCCCATCCTGAGTCCCTTGGAAGAAAGAGCCCTTGTCCTCAGCCATAAACAGTTTATACAAAAAAAAAAAGTTTTGTTGATACAATTCTAAGTATTAACAGAAAGAAATGCTTATTCATATTTTTGGCAATTTTTCATGATGTTTTAGTTTAAAAAATGTATGTCAATATTTAGTTTATGTCATGTTGGCTCAGATTGTCTTGAGAAAGGAAACTGAAAAGAAATTAGAGCTTCAGTAGGCCAACCTCTTGATATAGATGAGAAGTGGTTTGCCCAAATCACAGTATAATGGAGTGTTATTATGACAACTGAGAGCCCTAACTGAATTTGCACAATGAGAAGGTGTTTCAAGAACACTGTTGGGGTGGTGATGGGGATGTAGAAAGGTGGAAGAGGCTAAGGAACTCAAGGACTCTTTCCCCAGATCCTCAAATCAGAGCAACTAAATATTGGGTGCTTCGGAAAAGATTTTACTTGAAGAAAGACTTTTGATGCTTGAACGAATATGGAAAATTAAAAAGTGCTAAGCCATTCTGCCTCTTGTAACTTACTTAACTACATGTACAATCAGTCATTTTGGAAATGGTGGTGTATCTAGCCATTTGCTGATTGTGGTGTTTGGCAGTTTTTAAAGAATTTTGAAATGATTTGTCAGAGTTTTTGTTAGATTATGCCTACCTATCACATATAAGTGGGTGATCTTTATGTAAATGATCCTTTTGGCAAATATTTTTCTCTCCCTCTCTCTCTCTCTCTCTCTCCCTTTCCCTCTCCCCATGTGTGTGTTGTGTATGTGTGTGTGCTTAAAATTGTTCTTATATCTCAAATGAATATTTATATGGTTGATATAGCATCTGTACTTCTGCAGAGTTTTATATGTGACTTTTACATGTGGTCTGTTGAGTTTAAATAAGAAAACCGCATTTGGCCCTTTTGAGATTGTACTATTTTCCTATAATACCTAGTACTGTACTTCAAAATCACAATGATATAAATAAACTCACAGGTCTAGAGTCACATGAGCCTGAAGTAAAATTTCCTATATTTTTAGCAACTTTAATACTAAGAATAGGGATACACATAATTTTAAAAGATGGTTGAGGAGTGCAAGATATTTGAGAATGCTTGTAGGTTATTTCACAGTATGTTTATGGCATTTGTTCTCAATTTTCAAAAAATGGAATTTTTAAAAAATAAAGCGAAAAAATTTATTTAAAAAATAAATATTTATTTAAAAAATAAAGAGAAAAAAGAATCATGATTTGGATTTTCTTCACACTGTTATTATCTGCTTTTTACAGAAGAAGAAACTGAGGCTCAGATTTAATTAATATTGCCTTAGGCCAAGCAGAGATAGTGTCATAATCGATTCAATTCACTTTGAATCCATAATTCTTTCAGCATGTTGGCTGACTCTTCACCTTAATAAAGTCATTATGACCTTCAGTTTTTTGAATTAACATTGACAATAATGAAAAGAGACATTTAATTAAGTTATTAACATGTGGATATTTTAGGCTTTGGCTTATACTGATCATTAAAGACATATGGAATTAGAATCTTTTGTGCAAGTGAAAGTGTTAGAAATATTTTATACACACAAATTTGTATCTTCATCATTCCTTCTTCATCCCTTCTTCATTCCAGTGAATATTAGTGCTTAGAAGAGCAGCTACAATTTGTGAAAATGGATTAAAACCTCAGTTCAGAGCCATCAGAACCAAGGATTCCCTGGCATGAGAAGTTAAACATTGGTCCATTTGTTTTAGAGACTGAATGTTTCTGTCTTTGTTTGGACCTCTGCTAATTAGTGTCCTTGAAATTTTGAAAAGCTGTCTCCCAGAAGTAGTGATCCCACTATTCAGACATAAAGTTCACAGGGGAAGCAGCCTCAGTTTTGAACTCCTCTACTGGCTGCTTTTGCTGATTCCCCCTCCTTGTGGATACTACCACTTTAATACATCATGCAGCCAAGTCTGGAATCTGATAGTGCTAGAAAGTATGGTCTATAAGAGATTGGTCCAGGTGTGCAGTCTTGCTATATTTGAGAGTGAAGGACACAAACAGGTAGGCAAAGTTGGGCAGTCTGAGTTTTGCCATATTTTACTGTCTAGTATACCATAGGAGTAATAACAACTGCTAGCATTTATTGGCACCTTACTATATATCCAGTTCTATCCTCAACACTTTATATTTTTTCTTTCAGTCACCAGGTAGGACAGATACTGTCTTCTTCATTTCATACATGAAGAACCTGAGAATAAGAGTTAAATAATTTGCCTGAGGTCAGAGAAGTAGAACTGAGGTTATTACAGTGGATAGGAACATAAACTGGATCACAATTCCAACTTCCTGCTCTCAAACTCTGACTCAGGGCTCCACAAACTTTATGCTATTACCTTTCTCTCTGTGATGCCATCCTAGGGTCAAAAATAATCATATGTTACCACCGAGTACTTTTTAAAGGTATGTGTGTGTGTCTTACCACAGTAGAGTCCTGATATACTTCTTCCTGCGATTATGAGAATATGAGATGGTCCTAATTTGGAACACCCCATCAAGAGAGCTCCAACTAATGAGAGGCTGTTTGCTGCGAGCAAGGCTTTGATTCTGAAATTTAAAAAATCAAGATTTCAGCATCAAAACTTGATAAAAAATTGCTTTCAGAGGATTTTGACATTTTTGCCTAAAAGCAATTATTTTAAGTTTTCTGTAAAAATTCATTTAGGAATTTTGAACCAAAGTTTTTACTTTGACTCCATTTACTAAAGTATCAGCAGAAAGTAATATTTATGATCAAAGAATCTGGGCTTCACACAACTGGTCTCCACATGTTGATAGAGATGACCAGTTTGATTTAAGGTAACACCTCTAACACCTTTTCAAACTGTAGCTAATTAAGTTTTCTACAAACTGACTGGTTTAAGAAATAATTAACTGATGATGTATTCATTCAGTTCCATGGTTGTAACCTATAACTTGGTTTTTTCTTTAATTTTTTCTTTGAGTAGTAACAGTTTTTAGTTATATGGAATAGGAGGGAAACTTTCAAAGTCAAATTTTTTTTTCTATAAATTTTTGGAAGTAAATTAAAACATACTTTTAAGAGCTTGTCATAGTTATACTTATTTTCACAGGCTACATATGCCATATTTCTAGAATTTATAATGTCAACCAATGTAAAACACATTATAAAGCTGACAATAGCAACAAAACATCACTTTCAAAACTAATCATATTAAAATTACACAAAAACCTTCAAAGTTAAGTAGATAATAAAGCCAATAAAAGAATGTGAGTGGATAAGATGAAAATGTGCCACAAGGAAATTTCTACTCCAAAGTTTCAAAATCTGATAGGTGGGCTTTTTCTAAGAAAGTATTTTTAACACCAAACTTTTCTTTAAAACTAAATAATTTCATACTGCAATGATTACCCAATAGCCATACAATAGGCTGAGTAACATCTCCGGAGTCCAAGTCTATTTTTAGAGTCTGAAAATATTACCTTATATGGCAAAAGAGATTTTGCAAATGTGACTAAATTAAGGATTTTGTGGTAGGGAGGGTGTTTGAATTATCCAGGTGAACCAATGATGTATCAAAGATGTCCTTGCAAGAGGAAAGCAAGAGAGGAGAAGGCAATGTGATAACACATGGAGATTGGAGTGATGTACTTCAAAGATGGAGGAAGGGGCCCCAGGCCACCTCTTTAGAGGAGGCCAGTAAAGACTGGAAAAGGGTAAGGAAATAGTTCTTCCCTCAGAGCTCCCTGAAGGCACCAACCCTGCTGAGATCTTGACTTTAGCTAAATGAAACTGATTTTGGACTTGAAACTATAAGAAAATTCATTTGTGTTGTTTTAAGTCACCAAGTTGGTGGTAATTTGTTACAGCAGCAAAGGAAACTAATGTAAGGAAATTATTAACTATGTAAAGGTGAAACAGTGATTAAGTGCTGGCTAGCCCTACTGCAGTGTTTTAGAGACAGTTAATGGGAGTTTCTCTTCAGACTACTGTGAAATGCCTTTTCTCTTTACAAGAACAGAGAGCATCCATATCACCAGTTTATCCTAAGAAGTTATTATCAACTAGCTAATAGTCTATTCTGTCTGGAGGAGGAAAGACAAAAAGTCTAATCCTGAAAGGATTTTTGGTGCACAATTGTCTCTCTTCCTCATTTCCAAACAATAGTTGCTGGAACAGTTTATACAACTTAAAGGATTTCAAATTTCAGCTCAGATATGAGAAGTGGCCAAAAATTAAATATATGAAATAGTTGAATCAGGAAGCAAGAAACTTAATTCTAAGTATATTTCTTTAAATTTTCTTATATCTCAGCATAGGCTTCATCATAATTGTTGTCATTGTCACCATCATCAGAACAGGGCTACATTTCCTGCTTATATGTGGCAAGCATTGTGCAAAAATCCTTCATATTCTTTCGCATTTAATCCTCACAATCCATCACACTAATGTGATGAAGTAGGTATTGTATTTTTCCAACATTGCAGGTGGCAGGAAAATATCTTCGCCCAAGTAACATACTCCATTTCACACAGCTGTTAAGTGCCCAACACCCATGTGATAGGCTGAGTAGTCTGTGAAATCAAAGGCTATTAATGCTCCATTTTAATAAGTTCCTCCTTCTTCCATTTTTGTGGTATTGGGGATTGAACTCTGGGCTTTGCACATGTTAGACAAGCACTTTACAACTAAGCTGTACCCTCAGCACTATCAGTTAAGTTGCTGTGTCAACTTTCCTTGACTCATGGTAGTATGACTTGCAGATCCTATGGTTTTCCTCATCTTAATCTTGGAATTAAATTTAAGTGGACAGTCTTGGGGAAATCTGAACTTACAAACACAAATCCACAAAAGAGTGGTCACAGACCTCTGTTGACTGTTACACAATTGTAAAGACAAATTTTTTAAAAGAATGTTGGAAGGAACACATTTTAATTTAGTTTTAACTAGTGGAGATATGATTGTGTCAATAAGAATAATCGTATAATTTCTCAATGACTTTCCCTAGAAAAATAGTTTTATGGGAGACACCGAACTCTTTTGTCTTATTTTTTTATGATTGTTTTTCAAAGAAGATAATTTTTGATTGAGAGCTGAAAGAAACTTCACTTTTCTTTATAACAAACCATTTAACAAATGGTCATTTGACACTGTTTTGGGTACAGCCATTGTTGATGCTAAATCCTAAGACTCCAGAGCATATGCAAACTGGCTTCATTGCTAGAACACTAATTTAATGTTTTAAGCTGAGTCACTAGACCTGTTAGAATCTCATCTCTAAATGAGGGGCAGAGCTTTGAGTTTTTCTTCAAGGTTGGGAAATAGCTGCTAAAAAATTGATTTGTGCATATTTTAAAATTGAATCCTGCTTGATTTACTTTAGAAATAATCTAGAATATTCTCCATTTATACCAATTTGGTGCAAATTGAAATGATTATTACATTTTTTAAAATGATGAAAGTCAGTTCATTTTGATTTTTATATATTCTGATTTACATTTTAACCAAACACCAGTAAGTTGATAAAAATGTAAAAAACCAGCCTCTCTATTCTATCATGAAGAAAACTCCTTTTCAAATAATAATAAAATTTGGATTGCCATGATACTCTTTAATTACAGAAACTTTTTATAGTCTTATGGTATAAAGTTTGAATAAGGAAGAAATTAGCAGAATCATAATAACTATACAGCTAAAAAGAACAATTTTTGGAGGAATTGGAAAAACTAAATGAATTAAAATCCAGATTTATTAAGTTAGTTACTTATATTGTTATTTATACCTTTAAAAGATTTTGTAATACCTAAATATATATTATTTTTATTATGAAAATAAAACGTTATAAACAAAATTTGGGCTCAGAAAACAGAAAACAAATTTAAACAAATAATCATTTGATTTTCTGATTTTATTTCATCCCTATATAGGGCAGGAAATCCCGCCAGCTTTAGTATGTCACATAACTAAGTGCATGGTAGAGGAGCACTGCTGATGTTTTTAATCTAGAACTTCTAGTAGAAACCAGATAATCGCTGTGCTCCTCTGGATTTGGAAGTTATAAAACATACTAAGAAACCACTGCAAAAATGGTTAACTCAGGGACTCAGCAGAAGAACCTCGGTTGGAATTTTTAACCTGAAAATCTACCATTTGTTTTGTCAAATGACACCATTCTGAATACTTTAGGAGTGCTTCATCTTGCTTTATCTTGAGCTGAGGCTTTGAGGTAGATGGAAGCCCTATTCCAAGAACATGGGGCTACTAGCAGTTGGCAATAGTGACTTGACCTTAGAACTTGACTGATCCAAATGCCAAATTTTCATTTGAAAAATGAAAAACTGGATGCCTGAGAATGGTGTCATTTGACAAAACAAATGGTGATTTCCAGGTTAAAAATTCCAACCTAGGTTCTTCTGCTGAGTCTCTGAGTTAATCATTTATGCAGTGGTATCAGTATATTTGATAACTTCCAAACCCAGAGGATCACAGTGATTATCTAAAAATCCACACCAAATTCACTTTTCTGTAAATGCTTCCACAGTTAGATTATTGCAACAGCATTTTCCATTGATTTGGTCTAATATTGACCTGCCTTATAGGGTTATGAGTTGAAAAAAAACTTTAAAACTGTTACACAAAAGGAAAAAAATATCTTTCTAAACAAATTCTAACAACACCAAAATACTAAAGTTTCTATGTTTATGATTATTTATGAAATATACCTACCTTCCAAGCTTGTCCCCAAGCCACCCACCAAAGAATGATGCAATCATTCCACCCACTGCAAAGCTGGACACAGACAAGGACCAGAGCATGGTGACTAGGCCAGTAGATGTCACAGTTTCTTCCTCAGGCCAAGGGACTGGTGTTGATGTCCCTGGGTGTGGGGAGATGGGCAGTGCATCTGTACTGTTGATAACATAGTTGTTGGTAGCCTTTCGATCATCCAGTGGAACACCCAAAACATGTCTATAATGAGATATTATTATCTGTAGAAATAAAATGAAAATAAACTCACTATTTCAAACATTCTATCTATTTTTGATTTTCCTTTAAAATATTTGTTAGGTGTTTAAAGAGGACCACCCCAATTATGTGTGTTATAGCCCTACAACATTGATAGATTTATAATTGACCATATACTATGGTTACAAATCCAATGTTAGCAGAAACCAGGCAAGAAAGATTAAGTGAAGTAGACATGGGTTATCTTGATGACCAGAGTGGTGAAATACATCCTGTACACTGGGGACATAATTGGGAGTAGTTAGCTTGGGGAGGGGTAGCAGAAACTGCAGAGGTAAAGCTGGTGTTGGATGACCTTTTTGTTTAAATAGAATCCAGAAATCTGAGTTTATGTTTAAAAGTTTTCAGGTTTTAATTGCTGGCAAATATTTAAATTGAAAATATTCTTCAGGTTAAAAGATGTGTTTTTGTATCAGTATTACTTCTGTATAATAGGATTTAAATATTCTAATAGAAACAGAAGGAGAGACTGGGAAGGACAAGATGAGGGTCAAAATTAAGTTAATACTATATAAAATTCAAACACTAGGTGTATTATCCTTGGTAGAAGTAAGCTGTAGATTCAGTGCTAGACTTCCTAGCAGCCAGGAAAACAAGAGAAATATAATCAGGAACATGATTGACAAATTCCAAACATAGAAACATCTCTGTGGACCCTGAGAAGATGTGAAGTCTTGAAGGAAGTTTAGTCTGTAGGTCCTCATAGAGCAGTGGTGGCAAACCTTTGGCACATGTGCCACAGCAGGCTGTTTGTTATCACTGAAAGCTCTCAAAGTTTTGCCATTACTGTCATAGAGTTCAGTATGTCACAGAAGGAACAATATTTAGAATTAAATCTCACAGAGTCACATTTTATAATGTGCTTCGGTAGAGGCAAATATTATACTGAAGTATTATCAGCTAGAAGCATGTCCTCTGGGCATCTTCCTCCCATGTCATTATTCTTAGAGATGATTTAATCACTGTTCAGCCTCAGTGAGCTGGAGGGTCCTCTCTGACGAGGACCGAGATGACAGCTGCTCTTGGTTACCAATGAAGAGCAAGGTCCTATTCAGTGAAACTGAGTGAGGGAGGAGAATTGACATCCTTTTATAAAACAGGTCTGATCAAGACACTTGCCACATTAGATGCCTGCCCCAAGTGGATAGTATACTTACAAAACAAGGCTGGAAAGAAATATTCAAAATGTTCTTAGCAGTTTTCTATATGGCATACAACACTTACGGGTTTTTTTTTTCTTATATTTTTCTGTAGTAAGCACCTGTGATTTCATAATCATAAAATGGTCTGTTTTTAAAATACCTTAAAATAATTTCAAATGTTTTTCAGCTAATAATAAAATAAGGGGCCTGAATGGCTATTCTTAGTTAATGGTGTTTAAGCAGCTGTTTAAACTCAGAGGAAAGGGGCTGTGGAGAAAATAGTAACCTGGAGAGAGAAGAGGAGAGGAGAGGAGAGGGAGAGGAGAGATCAGGGACTTGAGCTGAAGGAGGAGAAACTAGCCTACTTTCCCTCTAAGACTGGAGAGAATAGTTTAAACAAGGATGTGAAAAGGTCCTTCATGACAATAGAAGGAGTTCTACCCATGCCAAGTCATGGTGATGCTGAACTGAATTTCAGGAAGCCTGCTAAATTGATCTGCATGGTCACCACCCACAGAAAGAAGATACGACCATGGTCTCTAGACTCCCAACATGATTTCCTGGGTCTTAGCCATGTAGAGGCCTGCCACACACATGATGTGCAGTACCTAATGAAAGCACATCTTTTGGCCCAAGGAGCAGCCCTTTTCAGGTAATGGACTGTGGCCAGCACCTATTTCATCCATTCACACTCTGCAATATCTTACAATTTTCTTTTAGCTCAGAGCCTTAAAAGAAGCACATGAAACATGACAGAGTCCCAGAAGGCACCCAACCAAGACTTGTATTTTCACCTTATGAATCCCATTTCCCAGCCTCCCCCAACCTCATTTTTCTCTTCTTCATCATTTAGTGAGTGCTTTCCTATGTCAACCATCGTGTTTGACACTATGCAGGAGTCTGAATTGGTGCACAGGGCTCTGAAGCCTTGTTTCCCCAATTTGGAGACTGTGAGAATTGAGAATAATGAAATCCTCCTGCTCAATATTCACTAGATAACAGAGCAGAGATATACAAAATAAATGAGAAAAATTCTAGAAATTATTTGATATTTAAAAAACCCCAACAATTCAAATAATCATGGAGAAAATCCAAACTTCATTGGACCTCTTGACTATCATTAAAGTTTTATATTATTTTATATTGAATGACTTATGGGAGTTAGGAATGGAGTGAAGGACTATAACCTTTTTAGAATTAGGGCTCCTAAAGTTTATGCTCTGCCTGGAAATGGGTATAATAAGGTTGTTGAGAGGGTCTAGCTCAGAAGAGCATATATTATAGTGCCTGATGCAAATAAGTAGGTGCCCAGTACACATGCACAGAATGAAACATATCATTTTATTGTTTCCTCTTTTCTGGCATTTTTCATTTATGCATGGGTGACAGCTCTGAATGAATGCTGCAATAAGCTCTCTAGGCATGTGCTATTCTCGTTAGAGTTTTCTGTGAGCTCAGCGAACAGCAGAGTCAGAGATCAAGCATTATTTATTGCTTCTTTTTCCCCCAAGGGCTGTTACCTGAGGAGTCAAGGCCAAGTTATCAGCTTTGGAACCACGTGCGTTGCACTTGGCAGGCCAGGATTACCCTATGTCCCCCACGTGGACACACTTTATCTTTATGACAGAACTTGGCCCAGAAAGAACTTACAATGTTCGTGTTTCACTTGCCTGTTGAGGTGCATTGATCACACCAATGTTGTATCCAAACTGGAAAGAACTCAGTACAGCAGTGAAGACAGTGAAAGCCAAGGTTCCAGTGATCTGTGGTATGAAACATAGAGCTGGGATACACCAAGAAGTTCCAGCTACCACCATCCCACCATCCTGCAGTGTGGACTTTTTACAGGCTCCATGGGCTGTTTCTTTCCCCTTGATCTTTCACAGTATGCTCTGTGCTCTGCTGTGTAGGTGTTGTTCTTCTGAGAATGTGAAAGTCATTGATTATTTTCTCTATAGTGCTAAAACTGAAAAATAATTTGGGACAGCTTTTTCCAGGGGAGGAACCAAACATCCTTTTCTTAACATATGTATTTTTTAAGATTCAAAATCAGAACTGAGAACTAGAACTGCTGCTGAAGCAAAAAACCTGCTAAAACAGAAACTATGTCATATGTCCTTGGGAGAACTCATATACATCATCAGTAACAAAGAAAGGGAGAGCTTTCTGGACTTTGCCATGGTACAAAGGCACTTTAGCTGTCATATAGGAGGCACCGGCCAGCCTTTATCATGAACTACATCAATATCTAGGTAGTGTATTTTACACGATTTGCATCTAGTTGAACCTAGAGTTGTGGACTAAGCTACATTATGTTCTCCACAACTACATAAAGCTACAATATAACTGCAAAGCATCAATTCTTTTCAATTCATAATTACATATCTGACCATCTTAAAGAAATCACATGCATACAGATTTGCATATAAGGATATTGCACAACATTTTGTGTGTATGTATGTGATAAAAATTGCAGAAAGAATATAAATCTCATTCAATGGGAAATGGTCAAACAGATTCAGAGAATAATGATACATATATCAGATATATACAACATGCTATGTGGGAATTAAAAAGAGTAATGTGATCAGATGCACTGACCTATTTTTAAGTGGTAAAGAATTTTGTTAACACAATGTTTTCCAAAGGCCTGAACATGAATATTCTTTGATTTGTGAATGTTGTATGTAACTCATAGGAGGTTTTCATGATGAATAAAAAACAAGTTGATGATCTTTGAAAAAGAATGTGAGGTTGGCGAAGGGAAGTAAAGGGATATTTTTTCTTTCATTTATGCTATTAGACATTTTCTAGGGAGATGTTTCATATATAATTATAAAATTCAAAATTTTAAATAAATCACATGGAATGTAGTAGGCATATTGTTGAATGAATGGAGTCGTATAAGCATGGGTTCCAGTTTCCACTCTTATTTCAAGGATATCTAATTCTACCCATTTCCCCTATGGGAGCTTAAGTTTCTGTCTAAATTATGGGATGATTATAAATCTTCCAATAAATCTATAAATTAGAAATTTCACAATGTTATCATCAATGAAGTATCATAGAATCTGAATTTATTTAGTACACTGGTTCTAAAATGAGACCCTGCTTGGAGAGCTTGGTATATATGTAACTTCTGGAAATTTACCCCAGACCATCTACTGGATTGGAATCTTAAGTGGGGACTGGAGATATTTAGGTTTTCAAAACTTTCTCTTTTTTTCATTAATTTTAGGCAGCATCTATCCAAACTTTCTTCCCTTATCTGAAATAAAGACTCATATATATATATATACATAAAACCAAAGAAGCATTTATAAGTATGTATGCTATATACTTTTAGAAATAAGTAATAATATATTACATATCAATAGTTACATATAAAATGTGTGAGTGCACACACACACATTATACAGTATTTGGTGCATAGGATACAAGAGATTTTGAATTACCCTCTGAAGTGTCACTAGACATCTAAAACTCAGTGGCTCAGACAGCCAAAGATAAAATGGGGTTCCATTTGCTTGACTGTTGATTTCTCTTTAAGTCTTTTTTAAGTCTTTAAGTCTTTTCCTGCCTCAAACTGTTTCCAAAGATAGGAATTGCATCCGTTTCATAGATGGAAAGAGGACTAGGTGCCTTCAGAGAACTTTAATCTCCTTCCCTCATACTCTTTGTCACTACAGTCTGGACAATCTGATGTAAACTGTAGGGCAAAACCAGCTTCAAAGCCTATTACTGAATATTTATATCAACTGCATGTCTGATCACTGCTTTATGTGGATTATCTCATTTATTCTTCGTGTTTTCTATTGCAGCTGTAACAAATTATCACCAATCCACTGGCTTAAAGAACACAAACCTATTTATCTTACAGTTCTGTCAGTCAGAAGTCCAGTATGAATCTCAGCAGACTAAATTCAAGGAGTTAGCAGGCTCTGTTCCTTTCTGGAGGCTGCAGAAGAAACTCTGGGTTGATGGTATAATTCAGTTCCTCATAGTGATGGGCTTAGCTTTATGTTTTCCTCCTGGCTGTAAACTGAGGGCCATTTTCAGGCCCAGAGGTCAACATGTTTCTTGGCTAATTTTACCCTTCATCCATTTTCATAGCAAGCAATGATGTGTCAATTCTTATGTTGCTTTTCTCAGGGCAGACAACACCAAGAAAAAGTTCTTCTGTTTGAAGAATCCATGGGATTAGATTTGACCCATCTGGATAATCCAGGAAAATCTTTCCATCTCAAGGTCCTTAACCTTAATCATGTCTTCAAAAGTCCTTTTTCCCTTCTATGTGGCTTGGCACTGGACTTGATCTGAGAAAGTTTTGTTTATTAACTAGGAACATTTCTGAAAATTACGAAGTCTGAAAAAGCCCCATTAACCTTTGTCTATTCACTCTAATGTCCCAGAGGTTGACACAATATAGGTACTTAAGAGCTAATGAAAATAGTAAGAACTTGGGACCTTACTCAGTCCAGGCTCTGGGGTCCTAATTGTTTTGTCTGTCTTTTCAAAAACCTTATAGATAGAAATTATCATTATCCTTTCATGTATAGGGAAACATATATGGAGACAGTTAGTAACTAACGCAAAAACTTCATGCTTAGTAAGTGGCAGATCTTCAGGTCTTTCCACTAAACTTTATAGGCTACAAGATGTTAAACTAAAACTTTTAAAAATTCTGCCTTCACTTAAAGCTTAATGATTTTAAGTTAGAGAAACTAGTTCCCATATCTAATTTAAAATATGCTGTAGGATATATGTGGAAGAGTAGAATAGGCAAACAACTGAATCTTAACATGGTAGGAAAAATGTGCTTATTTTGTGGCTTAGAAGTTAAAGAGAATCTATTAGAAAAAAGCAAGTAGATATGGAAGTAGACAATTTAAGAAAAAGTACTAGCTAAGCTCTTATCAGCCCTGAGCCTTAGTTTCTTTTCCTGTAAATGACAGTTAATGCATAAGATTATTGTGAAAACTAAATAAGATAAATAAAGTGGTCATCCTTTAATGAGTAAAAGGGCAAATGAACACATGCATCTTTTTTCACATCATTATCATCTCATTAATCACTCTTGGCAAATAACCATGTGTTAACTTTTCATATATCACCAATAATCTTCACAACAATACTACATAGTAATACTACATAGTGCATGAAATTACTCCCATTTTACAGCTGAAGAAACCAGGTGCAGAGATGATTAGGGAGCAAGCCTAACACCACAGAAGTACAGAGGTACTCTGTTCACAAACTCAATTCTTTCCACTGTTCTGGTTGCAAACCAAATTGGATGAGAACCGAATCAAATTCAATGGTTAGGTTCACTGTTGACCTTATGGCGAAATTTGATTTGGTTCTCGTCCAATTTGGTTTGCGACCAGAATTGAAGAAAGAATTAAGTTCATGAACTGAGGCACCACTGTATCAAATACTCTATTATGGGACTCTGAGCTGATGGTCCTAAACCCCCACTACTGAACAAAAAAGCAAGGTTTTTTTTAGCAACTACCGATTGACTAAGTAGGGAAAAAGCTTATGCACTTCCTCTAAACAACATGGTTTAGGAAGCCAAGCCAATGGTGATTTTGCACCCAAATTGGAAATGGCCAGGGGCTTCTCAAGTCGTAGAATTTTCAGGTTAAAAGGAAGCTTAGAGAGCAACAAATGCTTGTCTGATTCCTTCATTTTTCAATTAAAAAAATTGAGGTTCCATAGACTGAGGCCCTTGTCTGAGTTCTGTGCGTATCTAGAGTTACACCTGAGGTCTCTTGGCTCATAGTTCTGTGATTATCCTATCCCTTTTAACCAAAGTGGATAACATTCACTGCTTTTTTCATAAAACTGAAAAACATTGCTTTTTTATATAGGTTTTCAAATATTTCTGTTCTTTGTTTCTCAAGAAAAGTTCTACAACCTAATTTCTAAACTCCTAAGGGAATTTAATTAGCTGTAAATGTAGCTTGGGCATCTACTCTATGCCAGGCTCTCTGCTAAGCACATTACCTTTGCTTTTGCAGTGCCTTCTGTTATTTTTGCCAAATGTATATATCATCTCTACAGTTATTAGTGTTCATCTTCGTATGTTCTTTAAAGTTCTACTTTAGCTTTATCTTGGGCATCAGTATCCATAAAATCATGATATGCTTCTTATTCTTTAAATACACATTATATAACTATTAACATTAAAGTGCCATAGAAACTTCTCTGATATTATCTGATATTATCAAGCCCTAAAGTGCTATGACACCTAAATAACCCATATTATATCTCAAAATGTTTTTATTTTATTTTAATATAGAAAACCCAAAGCTCAGAAGAATAAATTAACCCAAGTGTGACAGCAGCTAAGAAGCAATGCTAGAGCATAGATCCAAGCATGCTGATTCTAAAGCTCATGCTACAACCATTTTCCTTACTGCCACGAACTGATGATCAGCAGAGTATGTTCTACCATGTCAGAACTTAAAGGTCCTACTTTAAGAGGAGCATGTATTTATCAACTTGTATTATTGTGTATCAGGGTGGGTGATTGTGGTTAGGGAAAACTTCTAAGGGAACAAAAGTGTTATATTATTTTAAGCTTTTATATTGAAAAGTATTATATCTACTGAGAAGTAGAAATAATAGTGCAGTGAATACTCTACAACCTTTACCTGTATCTACAAGTGGCTAACCACTACTGTATTTAACTCCTACTGTGTGTATGTTTTTCTGGCTGAAACATTTAAAAACAAGCTTCAGATATTTATATCACCTCACTCTTAAATACTTCAGCATGGACTCAGAACAAAGATATCTCCCTACATAGGTACAATATATTATCATATCCAAGAATGTAATATTGATATGATAATATTAACTAAGACATAGCTCACATTCAGAATTTCCCACCTATCCCCATATTGTCTCTTATAACTGTTTTCTTCTTTATTCTGTGATCTAAGATCACCTGTTGCATTTTTGTCAGTTCTTCAGTCTTTTTTGTAGAACATTGCTTCTACCTCTCTTGCCTTTTATGCACCAGCATTTTTGAAGATTCCAAATCAGTTTTCACAATTAACTTCAGGTTAATCTGCCCTTTTTTAGGGAAGAAGGCACATTCTGTCCATCATATGGTTATATAGAATCACTTGGAAAAAATTCAGAAAATTGTCAGAAAAGAGAGCAAACATCCTTAAGCTCCAATTGCTGAACAAGAAGCAGGTTTTTCTTTACCAACTAAATGAATAATCAGTTGACCAAGTACAGAGAAATAGCTTTGTTTTGTGGTAGCTATATCCAATATCCCCAAAAGCTCTGTGTACTCACCAATGTGAATAGATTCCCCTGTCATTTTTTTCAAAGCCAGATTTAAAATGAACCTGATGCTGATTTACCTTATCTCCTGCCATTCTATGGATTGGAAGTCCTCTTAATTCCAGGTCCTGTACTGAGCTGTGTATGTAGCTGACAGTCCTGCCTTTATGTCCACAGCTCTGCCTGGTTATACATTGTAGGAGGAGGAGCAAGTCGAGGGGAGGAGTAGGGCTCAAACTAAGAGTCCAAGTCTAATCTTAATAACAGAGGTTGAATTTTGATGAGAATCAAATCAGTAAGTCCTTTGCCTCGGCACCTTGTGGCTCCAATACCTTTTTTTCCATCTGAAGAGAAAATGGGAGCAGGTCTCTTAGGCGTAAGTTACAAATCAGAGGTTGTCACATTTTAAGGCATGTGCTAAGTGTGGCAGCAGCTGGGGACAGGTGAAAAGAGAACTCTGTGAGTTCTTTTGCAGAAAATATGCTGGTCTTTTGAGATATGCTGGGCTGCCAGGTAATGTGGGATGACACAGATGGGCATGGAAAGTGCAGTGAGCTTTGCTCTGCTGAGAGCTTATACTATGGTATTTGTGCGCTAGAGCTGGGTGATGTGGCCAGGGGCTGCTGTAGATTAGACCAGTTACCTAAATGAGTTCTACAGAGTTAAGGACTTGAGTTTGACTCTCAGCATTCACTGGCTTGCTGTGATTTTCCTGTGCCTTAGTTGATTTTTTTTTTAATCTGATAATGAGGAACTAACAGAACATACACTTTGTTTTGCAGGAGAATTAAATGAGAAACACGAGAGGATTTAGCATAGCCTAACTGCTCAGTAAATGGTGGTTGTTATTGTTATTGCTATTACTGATTCAGTGTATATCAAGAGGAACTTGCTGGAGGTGATAATGTAATATTCACAGATCTGCTCATATGTCTTCAGCGTGCGCTTTTCTGGGTATCTTCTCTGACATACAATCTCTTTGGGGGCTCAGGAGATATCAAAATATATTGAGCTTTAATTGTACCTGGCAACTAGGGTCACTGCTTCCTCTGAGACTCACATGAAACCAGTTTGCTGTAGAGGAACTGTAACGGACAGCAGCAAAAGGAGGGCACTAGGAAAAAATGAGATGAGAAAGTGAAGAGGTAGAGGAAATTCAGATTTCATTTGTCTACTCTTTTGCCCACCCTTTTTCATTTCTACCACTTCTGCAAGGTGACACACCTAAAAATGTTTGCTTTTAGAAGTTCAATTCAGTTCAAACCACAAATAATAATGGAACCCAGCACAGTTCCATGCTCTGAGATACATGAGACAAATAAGACACAGCTGCCTTCTGCTAGGAGTTTATAATGTATAAGGTGAGATGTGTGCAAAGACCAATGCACAATACAATAATTTCTTAGTGGAGAGGCATAGACAAATGTTAATAGTGATAGTTAATCTTTATTGAGTCCTTCTTTGGTGCCAGGTGCCTCTCTCAGCACTTGCCATGGATTAACTTGTTTAGTCATAACAGAAGAGCTCTAGGTGACAGAGCCAAGCTTTGGGGAGCAGCTTTGAAACAAGACTTTATGGTGCTCAGGTTGCTGCACTGACTTTCTGCCCCAGTTTCGGCAGGTTTTGTACACATCTACTCAGCAGGGCCTTCTATAAACAGGTGAGGTTCCTTGGCCTTCATTATCCAGGGACCTGGCAATCTGTGGGAAAGAAGCTTGTGCTGCTGTTAGGAATGATAGTTTTCCTCTGCTGTTTACCAGCCTTTGACTTTTGAACTCTCTATGACTGGTGAGAGTACTAAGTCCTGGCCAGCATCTAGTAGCTTCTGGAGCTAGTCTCTCCCCTTCAAAGTGTGACCTGTTTCTAGTCTTGAGCCATTGTGATCAGCTTCCTCTGGTTTAGTCCTGGCCTCTCTGTTCTGGTCTTGCTCAGAAATGAGTAAAAGGCTACAGCTTTTGGGATGGGCTAAAACTATCTCCAGGATTGGGGTTGAGGGATTCATTTACACTGATTGCACTCATTTATGTAGCCCTTGAAGAACTGATACTTGATTCTAGCCTCTCAGTTTGCTTCACTGGCTTCCTGGCTGTAGGATAAAGTCAGGCTTTGGACACTTTGCTGATGGGGTAGGATCTGCTCAGTGAGTGCCTGCTGTTCACCTCTGTGTGATTGTTCTCTTGCACTCACATTTCTAAACATTTCAGGTCATATTCTGATCACTTGTTTTTTTGGTACTAGGGATCGAACTCAGGACCTTGTGCTTTCAAGGCAAACACAGTGCCACTGAGCTAAGTCCCTGGCTTTGAATTGAATCTGAGTAGGTGCTAAGATATCTAAAGTTTACAAAGCAGGACCCACCATCCTCCCTCTTTTTTTCTCCTATTGTTACCCTTCCTTTCAGTAAAATGAGAGTCTGTAGATGGAAGGAAAGAAAACCAGCTATCTGTGGATGCTGCATTCTTCTCTGATTAGGTCAGGTGTCAGGGCAAAAATATCTCCTGGGAACTAAATCAAATGAGTTCAAGCTTGGCCAAGCCAGGGATACAACAGAGTATCTGAAGATTCCAGTCCCTCAAGAAGGCAGTGCTTTTTAAAATTTCTGAGTCAAATTTTGCACTGTAGCCTACCAAAGAGGGAGGGCAAACTTGTTATATCCTCTTCCCAACCTTCGTGTAGATGCCTCTCTGGTCCACACTGTCATCAACTCTCTTGTGTGTATTTGCATAGCTTTCTACCCAGCCTTCTTACTCCAGTCAAGATTGGTTTAAAAAGTTAAATCAGATGATAATGCCCCCCTACTCAAAAGCCTCTGGTGACCTCGTAGTCACCCTTAGGAGGAAACCTATATTCTTCTCCATGGCCTAAGAGGCAAACCTGATGCAAGCTCGATCTAAGATTGACTTTCATCCTCTGGGCCCAGCACAAGGGCCTCAGCCTATCTAACATGCTTCAGTCTCAGAATCTGTGGACTGGAGGAGCCTCTTCTCGAAGTGCCTCTCCCTAGGTTTGAATGTCACTGGCTCCTGCTCTTCACTGAGATGAAGGCTCTGAAAGAGCTCCCTCACTGGTCTGCTTAAAGTAAATACCAGCTATGCCTCCAACTCATGCTTGGCCTGTTACTCTGTTTTATTTTCTTCATGGTACTTATGCTTTAAGTTTTGTTTCCTGTTTATTTATTATTGTTTGCCACTTTTTCTATCAAATCTAAGGTCTGTGAATGTGGAGACTCCTATATTCTTGTTCTCAGTACCTATAAAAGTGCCTAGTGTGTAGTAAATACAGGCTTTCTTGTAGTAGGAGGGGTATCTGAGGCTATTATTGGGGCATTTATTGGTTTAATATTTAGTAATGCAGTATTTACAGAGCATTTTGCTAGGTACTAATTATAACTGTAAAAGACACAGAAAAGAACTCTGCTCTTGATGGATTAAATTCTATGAAAGAAACAAAGAATACAGAAGAAGAGACTAATGGGAGGCACCCTCTGAAGAAAAGATACTAAAGTAAACATTGATAGAGGTGCCATTTTGACTGAAGCCTGAAGAATGGGTAGGCAGGATGGAGGTGGAAGTAATGGGTAAATTTTGAGGAAGGAAAGATCTGAGGTTGAAGAATAAGAGAAATTCAGTTAAGACAGGGTGGGGAGAGGAGAGAGTAGAAAGAGATAATACTGGGGAGAGAGCAGCATGGTCATGCAGGATATATAGGCCACAGGAAAAAGTTGGAATCCACAGAAGGGCGGTGCGAAGTCATTGGAGGGATTAACAGTGGGAATGATGTGATCCAATATGTGTTTTAAGATTACTCCTGTCATTGAGTGCAGGATGGATGAGTGTCTTGGTCAGGGCACCCAGGAAAGGAGACGCACACTTGCAAAGCTCTTGTGACAGTTCATACTTGCTGTTGACCACTAGAACTAATGGTGGCAGCAGAGAAAGAAAAGTAAGAAATTCAAGATATAGTTCCATGGGTAAAGATGGGACTTGCAGATAATTGCTTTGAGGAGAGGAGAAAGGGAGAGAACTCAGGATAACAGATGATCTTCTTGCTTATTAAACTGGGATAACTGTGATACCATTTAATATCATATGTGGTAGATTGTTCAATCATCTGAGTAGTAATCCAAGTTTATCTCCCACATCTCATGGAATACTACAATAAAATAATCAGATTTTGTTCTTTTTTTTGTTATTTTATTTTATTAGTCTATATTTACAGTACATAAAGTTTATATTCATCTTGGGAAGTAGATACATATACACAATACAGCTTGTTTCCTTTTTAAATCTCCTTCCCCTTTCCACCTACTTCCCTTCTTCTACCTCTAAATCCCCTTTCCTAATTTTTATTCTTGTTATTATTAGCCTTAGCTCATGTTTATGACATAAAATGTTTACATTCATTGAAGTTATTAGTTCCTATACATGCCATTATCTTCATTTTTCTTATTTCCTCTTCCCTTTCCCTTCTTTCCTTGCCCTGGGTCTCTTGGACTGCTTCCCATTTATAAGAGATCTATCCCCTCGTTTCATGCTATCCATTCTTTTTTTATGCTTTTTGTTTTTTGTACTTTGCCTTACTCAAATGAGAGATACATATGGTTTTGAAGCTTGTGCATCTGATTTATTTCAATCAACACTGAATTTTCCAGGTGTATCCATTTTCCTACAGATGTCTCAAATTTATCCTTCTGTATAGCTAAGTAGTATTATATTATGTATAGATACCACATTTTTTTTTTTTTACCCATTTGTCAGTTGGTGGGCATACAGCTTGCTTCTAGGACTTCGCTATTATGAATTGTGCTGCTATACAAATTGGTATGCATGTATCACTGTAGTATGATGCCTTTAGCTCTTTGGGGAAAATGAGGTATAGCTGGATCATATGAAATTTCTAATTTTAGTTTTTTGAGAAATCTCCATACTGATTTCCATAATGGTTATACTAGTTTATATTTCCACCAACAATGTTGGAGGGTTTTATGACATCCACACCAGTATTCATTATTCTTTGACGTCTCAATAATTATCATTCTTTCTGGGGTAAGATAGAATCTTAGCATCATTTTAATTTCCATTTCTGTAATGACCAGAGATGTTGAACATTTTTTCATATATTTATTGGTCATTAGTACTTCTGAGAAGTGTCTGTTCATTTCACTTATCCAGTTT